AAAAAAAAAAAAAAAAAAAAAAAATACACCAGCTAAACTGCTTAAACATTTTGTATCCAATAATAGTCCAGCCAATGGTGTGACACTATTAATACAAGAAGTTTTTTAAATAGGATTTTTTAAAACTTTAAATTAAGTGATTTAAACTTCATTTAAAAATTTCACTTTACAGTGACACATTTTTCCTTTATATCAGATTCACATTAATTTAAAAATAAATCTCTTTAATAGAAATTCTTAGTGCGCTCAATTTAAATGTAAGTAATGTATGAATATGCTGGAAGTTATTAAGAGCTACACTGAAGTGCTGACTGTAAAAAATTAAGTGCTTTCACAATGAAGCTTTCTTAATTCTCACTGCTTTTCTTTTCATCCTGTAAACAGTTTATAAAATGTCATGTGTAACTATGAGTGTTAAGAAAATAATCACTCTTAAATTTTTACATTGCTTTGTGCAAGCCCACAGTTTGTTTTGTTTTGGCAAATGCCTCATTGTTTTAATGACTTCTGTTTAAAATGAGGAAAATGAAGTTAAGTGAATATTCCTTCTTTTAAGATGAGCTGTATTTATTACTAGAACGGAAGTTGTCATATCCCTGATCGTTAGCTTTGGACTTTAGGCAGGACTGCTTTTCTTCCAGGGACTGTTTTTCTTCAAATGACTGGCACCAGCAGCATAAACATGACTGTACAAAACAAAGACATTCATTATACATTCACATCAGTTACATTGTCACAACTTCTACTCTCTAGGGTTCTGACTTTCTTTGCATGACTTGGAATTCTTGGGCCGCTTTCTTTCCATGCACTCTGATTTTTCCCCTTAAAAACATATAATTACATAAGTAGAATATGATAACTGTTTTTGAAGTAGAAGACACAGAGAAGGAAAAATGTATGTAATTAAAATTCCTCACCTGCTTTCTCTCACTTGACAGTGTCATAGACGTCTTTCCATATCAATGACCTTAATATTATACTGCCAGTTTTTGCAGCCACATGCTGTTCTCATGTGCCTATTCAATACTGTTACACGATAAGCTTATAAAGTATATAAGTATCTCAGTTTCATTTATCCATTTTTCTTGGATTTTTAAAAATTCAAAACTCTGTTAATTCTGTTTGTTTTCTGAGAATCTTCATATATAAGGAAATGGGAGGTCCACTGTTTTCTGTTCTATAAAATGAGGGAGTTGATCTTAATGAACATTCTCTTCTAAAATCCGAGTTTATGAGTGGGCAAAGAATTTTATAGGCCGCCTTAGAGTTTACAAGGAAGCTAAGCTCTTGGCTTTCCAATGAGGAACTACCAGGGACAAATGGATCATTCCCACAGAAAGGGAAGAAATATTTTTCCATGTTGGATTGCTGAAGGAGCGAGTGGATGGATGGATGAATGTTACGGTGCTTGCAGCCCACCGAGGAGTAACTCAGCATATTCCATGCTAGTAGCACAGCTCTGCTAAGAGGGTGGAAGAGAGGATGTGGGACCTGGATCAATTTCTTTGTTTGACTTGCTGTTCTCTCGTCCATGTGAAAAGGAGACCAATGTAGTTAGACTACAAATTGTGCTGCATAGTCCAAAATGTACCCCAAATGGGATCAGCACATTTAATTCATGTTTAGCTCTTATTTATCATGTGATGTCTGTCAGACATCGGTGCAGGTAATTTTTAAAAGCAATTCTATGAGTGTAACTGATCGGCTGGGGCAGTAAGCGGTTGACTAGGATTTACTAGAAATCAACCAACTATAGTGATTTGTGAGCAAAAGTCATATTTTTAAAAATCGCCCATGGTGTAAAGCAAGGGAAAACTGTAAATATCCTGGAGCTCTCTGGAGAGAGATATTAATAGTTTGGAAGGGATCTATTTGATGCCAGATTAAAAAGACCTTTTTATTTTGGAATACTGTCTTACCTTAAAGCAGTTTTTGAATCTTTTGCTCACCAAATACAGAGCTATGGGATTAATGCAGGAATTCAGGGAGGCCATGTTGATGCCGATGTAGTCCAATACCAACAGAAAGCTGCAAAAAATAACCCAAAACATGCCTGTGAAAAATGTGCTGCTCTGAGCATGTATTCTTTACAGACTTTTGTGTTTTCGTGGAGAAAAAAAATTACCCATATATTCAATGGTTTTGACTTTATTACTGGTCTTTGCTGATAATGATTTCTCTCTCTCTCTCATTCTCTGTCTCTGTCATCCCACACACCCTCCCCCACACCATGCCCAATTCTCTCCTTTAAAAGAAAATTTTATATTTAGAAGTGCTGTGGCTGGCTGAAAAGAAAAGTTCTGCAATGTACAAAGGAGAATTAGACCTGCTATTTTCGAGCATGAGACACACTTCTTTGAACAACTCTGGCTCTCCAGCCCCAGCATTCTCCACAGCTCCCTTTAGTCCCTTCTTTTATGAGAGAAGGGAAGGTAAAAAATCTTAATTATTCCCTAAGGATCAGAAAAATGGTATTCTCTGTTTCTACCTATGAAAAGGATCAGTGAAAAACTCCTGTGTGACATTCATTTACAAAACTATCTCTATTTTACTTTTCTTACCTCAAAAGTTCACATCTATTAGGATCATTCTGGTCATAAAGAGTGAGCTTCAAAATCCTGCTGAGGTGAAGGGGCAGCCAGCACAGGGCAAAGACAAGGACCAGGCAAAACACCGTTTTGGCCACTTCCCGTCTCTGAAATAAAACCATAGTCAGACCCTGAAATGTGGCTCATTATAATCTCAGTGCCCTCCTTTCCCAAAGAGAATATTTAATATTGTTTATAAAAAGTCAGTAGCATTTGTAAAAATGCAGGACACTGAGCTTTAAGTTGAATAATTAATGTCAATTAAAACTAAAATGAGATTCATATTTAAAAAGTAATAGCTTTTTCTAGGTTCCTTAGATTATACAGAATATGCCTAAATAGATAATATAAAATATATCAGAGCAAGGAAAAAGGAGATGTGCTCTAGTATATAGTAATTTTAATTTATCATTATAATATTTTTGTTATTCATAATCATAGTTGTAATCATGAATTAGAAATATTTCTACTTTCTTACCTGCTTTAAGTGATCATTTAAAACAATTTGCATGCCGCTTTTCTTTCTCAACATTTCACAGGTCATCAAGGTATAAAAAAATGCAGTGATGGCCAATGGCAAGCAGAAATAGAAACTAAATAGCCACCAGTCTTTAGCTGTCTTGTAAAACTATGGGGAAGAAAGAATTTCCTCTTTATTTTTTTATTTTTCCATACCATTTATTCCCCCTTTACCCTATCCACTTCCACTCCTCCCTCTCCACGCCTCCCCCACAATCACCACACTATTGTCCACGTCCGTGAGTTCTTTCTCTTTTTAAATCTTTTTCTAAATCCCTCCAACAACCACTCCCTCTAAGCCTCCCATTGCCCCATCAGAGCAGCCTGCCTGCTCTCTATCTATGAGTCTGTGGGAAGAGAGTTTTATGATTAATATTCCTCTGTAAGAAACTTTTATGACAAATGTTAAATTTAAAAAAACCATTACAGAATAATTATTTTCTAAAGTGGATCCATTTTATAAACACTATATAAACTTTATCAGGTCACATCTGAACCAATAATTAAATGCTTATATTAGATAAAACAAACTTTTCCTAAAAGGCATTTCAGTTCTCAAAAGCAATGGGCTATAAATATCCTTTAAAATTTAATCAGTTAGACAAAATTTAAAATATTTGGTAATTTAGGTATTTTTGTCTTCACATAAACTAGTTATCTCTAAGCCATTCTTTGTGTGAAATACCACATCTGAGTATGTAAAGACATCATAGTGTTTAAGGAAAATTTTCACTTTTTAACATGTTTATTTCATGGGAAAAACAGATACAAAAAAGGCCCATGTTAATCATTTAGCTTAGTAATGTATAAATCTAACCAATCAGTTAAAAAATCAAAGCTGTTTAGGACATATTCCTTTGCTCTTATTCTTTGTTTTTGTTTGTTTGTTTTGTAATTGTTGCTATAGCTGTATCTGTGTAGGAGCAGGATTTAGGTAATTTATCTCGTACACTTTCCCTTTTAACTAATAAGAAACAAGAAACCAGCCATTTCATTCTCAATTTCACATTAATGCCCCTCTTTATTCTTTTTATGATTATAATATATACAATTCATAAAGTTTTGTAGAACTTTCTTATATGGGAAATGCAAAATAATCATTGGTGACCCTTAGGCAGGCCAGGCCCCTTTGCAGTAACTCTGCTTCACCCATTCTGTTGGAAAGAGCTTGTTACACTTAGGACCTATCTTCTGATGACCAGCATTTCCCACCTTTTCCTGTCACCTGACGAAATGTTCTTGAATAAATGGCCAAGGTGAAAACTTCTTTGCAATGTCATCTTTCTCTTTAGAGAGGAGACAGGACCCATCCATACCAGGGCGAATTCTACTTGATCAATCCCTGAACTATCTACTCCCTCTGATGACTGCTATGCTGTCTTAAGCAGAAAATGGAGTAGTTGCCAGTCCTTGTGGGAATTTGCACAGAAAGGCTATAAATTCAGATTGATTTTCTCATGTGGACCTGGTTTATCTGTATCCCTGAGTGCCTGGGGATTCTTGGAGAGGTAGGGCCCCAGCTTCCTGCAGCCTGGGCCATTAGTCACAGTTAACCCTGCAGCCCTGGGACCTACACACTTAATGTATGCCAAGGGCAGTCATAAATCAATAGCTTCCAAGAAGGGGAAATTAGGGGAAAAATAGCTGAGTATTTATAAGGCAAGAACAGAAAGGGAAAAAAAATGTAAAATTTACCTGCATGAAGGCTGTTTTCTGAGTGGGATGAAGCAAGCAGATTCGCAGATAACTCCCTTTGTAGTCAGTGGTAATCATTTCAAAACCCACAGCTTCGGGGATAGCCAGAACCACAGAGACCACCCAAATTAAAACAATTTCTACTGCTGTCCATTTTGGAACCCCAATTCCTTTAATTCGACTCCAAGATGCAACGGCTCGATATCTGAAGAGCAAAATAAAATTGTTTGTCAAGCCGGCAGAGCCTGGTTTTATTGAATTCCATAGCTATTTTCCAAGTAACATAGCAATTACTAGTAGTGCTCAGGATATGCCTGACTTATATACGCTCTTACCTGTCAATACTTAGAGCACACAGGCTCAGCACCGTGATTCCCACGGAGGCCTTCTGTATGAAGGGCACCAGCTTACACATCTCAACTCCGAAGGGCCAGTCCTTGGCGAGTAGCTGCATTGAGACATGAAGCTCTATTAGGGAGATTTTTACAAGGCACCCTCTGAGCTGCATTACGTAGTGGAGGGTAATTAACATGCAGAATAAGATAAGATAATAAATTTCAGTTCTTATTCTTTTCCTCATGGACTGCTCCTTTGGAAAGCACCAGTGTTTGACATATGGAACAGGAGAGTGTGCTGGGAGGAGTCTGCTATGTATCTATAGTAGCTCAGGATCAGGTTCTCCACCGTGGGGCCACCTGGGGCCAGCTCCCCTAAAAAATTTGAAGCTGAAGTGCTGAGAATGTCATATACACTGTTATGGAGTCTCCAATGCTCAGGCCATGGCCAAATCAAAATATAGCTTAATTAAAAAGCGGTGATAAATGTTCCTTAGCTAGGAAGAATACAGTACTCCTACGGAGAACTTATTCTTACCTTAGTCAACTTCCTTGACTGCACAGCAACTCAGCCAGAGTAGGCATTGCTGCTCCTTGAACATACTAGGCACACTCCTGCCTTTGAGCTTTACTCTAGATCTTTCCTTATTCTGAAAGACTCTTTCTCCACAGATCTAGAAGGCAAACTCCTTTGCCTCTTCTGGTCTTGCTTAAGTCTCATCTTTTCAATGTGATCTACCCTGATCACACTATTAAGAACAGTAATCAGTCAGGTCTCCCCATCCACCTAACCCTACTCCACTTTCCTTTATATCTATAGTACTTATCAACTCCTATTGCTTATGTAATAACATGTACTTGTTTGTTTTGTTTAGTTTTTGCTGTCTGGCACTTCTAGAATATTTGACAGAATATGGGTTCTGCAACTGCCTAATACAGTTTCTGACACATAACAGATGCTTAATATATATATTCAAGTCCCTAATATATGCAGACACTGGTTATACAGTGAGTAAAGATACATAGTTCCTGCTATTATATATATATATATATATATAT